AAAAAAAGCTCAACAAGCTTATGAAGAAGGCAGCCTCTGTTCTAGGAACACCTCTGAGCATCCTCTTCAGAAGATTTTTTAACGACAACAGGGTGTCTGCAGTAAGAGGCTTCTCCAGATCTGCTTAAAGACAGAACGCTAAACCTACGATAACTGTTAAAAAAAATTAACATATGTTTAATGTGTATTTTTGAATTAAATGGAATTGAAATTACAGCATAATCCATTAAACTGATCCCACTATACCACTGTTCAAAGGTACTGTTTGAGATTTATAAGCTGATAACTGTTTTTATGCAATTTTAATCTTGCATCCATTTTGTGTTTTAGTTCCAGATAAACCAACAGTTATGTGATTCCGGTTGCATAGAGATGGATCGCCTGCCGCAGAAAGAGATCAGCACAGACCCTTGTGGTCCTAACATTCAGTCTGGACCTTGTTGTGTGATCAGAGGGAATCCAGCTTTACCTCCCAAGCCTGCAGTCCCAGAACCACTTCTATTCAACCATTCAAAAGGGCTCAAAAAACAGTCGGGCCTGGGTCCCATGCAGGCACCTGCAAAAACAACCACCTGGATGATGTCAGGGGAGGATAAGCCCACTCCACCACAACTGGCAAGCATAAGCCGGCCCAGACCGACTGCTCTTGGAACAAAAACAGCTTCAAAGTCAACCACAATCCCAGTCGGGTCCTCTAAAGAAATAGATTTGATCCCTGTTTGCATTCCAGGACCTCAGAGCGCCTGCGTCTTGCCGCATTCAACATCAGAGCCCTCGTTTACTCTGTGTAACCCCCAGAGCCCTCAGTCATATCTAAAACCAATGCTTAGTCCTAACCTGACCCCCAGCCCCAGTCCCAAAACCAGTCTGAAACCTCAACCCCAGAAGACCCCTTCGCCTGAGAGCTCCACACAGAACCAGACTCAATCTGAAAAGCCAGGAGGAGAGAGCAGTGACTTCAGGTGAGATCAGTAACACCCATTGCTTTTTTTCTTTTTTTTTACTTTTTAGGTTTGTTCCATTGCATTCTTGCAGTTCTGTAGAGAGCAGCTCAAAGAAACTGATTTGTTGCCCTCCATGTCACATGAATCACAGCAGCAGATCTCTCTTAGAGCCCAAGAAACCCGGCAAAATGTCTCATCCAAATTTTTGGCCAATTTCCCTCAGGCACTTTAGCTGTAGTCCCTGCTCATAAACAAAGGGTGCCTACAAAAACTTTCAATAGCCTGTTTATACTAGCAGTAAATATTGTCAGTCTTCAAACATAATAGTCGCAGTGCTAAGGCACACACACATTTTACACGCACATCATCTTTATGTATGAAATCCGAAGCGCTTTTAGTTTTGTGTGCAGTCCGTTTTTATATTTTCAATATCTGACTAAAGTATATTCAAACATTTAATATTTGTAATATGATCAATTAACTGTAAAGGAATATAAAATCTTGTGCTTACAAATAAAACTATTGTATATATTTCTCCTGATTAAGCTACCAAGTCAAGCAACAAAAAAAAAGTTTCATAGTCAAATTTTTTAGATTTTAAATCTATTGAACTTTGAATAATTAATTTCCTTTCATATTTTTTCAGGTTATAATAAAAAATGCTCTTCTTTTAAGTAAAAAAAAAAAAAAAAAGACGGTGGTATAACTTACCACAAGGCTACTTGTGAGGATTTATAGTTTAATAAGGTTTTTACAGATTACAATCTGAAAAGTGAGGTGTGCATTTATTCAGCCATTCCAAATCTATGTTATGAAGAGGAATGTTAAATAAAACTTAATTTTTTAAAATAAATATCATGATAAAGAAAGGACTTTTTAAAACCTTATGTGTGTCTTCCTAGAAAATCAGCTCATAATTTCCACAGCAGACTGAATGGTTATGTTTTGTTCGCCATGATCTTCCCATTGTGTTTTATATTTACAGAATGCATTATTCCAGAAAGTGTATTAATTTTTCTTTTCTTCTGAAACCAACAATAGGAATGAAATAATATTTATTTCCACATAACACGGAAAAACACATTTTCTATAATAGATTTTTATAAAATATCATAAATTCATATTAATGTCTTTGGCAGATCCTTCAAGACATTTTTTTTGGAAAGATTGCCCGCAAAACTTGTCAAAATAGGAGGAAAGCCATCTCTTGGTATATATTCAGTTGTAGTATTTTCTACTTTCAGATTGGCTGAATAAAAAGGCAGTACACACTATTCTGATTTCTATTTGATAAATATTTTAAATCATCTTTTATTTTCCTCAGTACAATTATCCAACAGTTTTTTTATTGTGCTCTCAGATGACACCCCAATAAAATACGAAGAAGTCTGTGATTGTAACGTGAATAATTTTTTTTTTTTAAAGAAAGAGGTTGAACACATATGCAGGCTCCCATGTTTAATTCTGCAGTTTATCTTTTTGAGCTAAAAGTTGGTCATATTATAGGATCGGCTCCTTTTTATTCTAAACACATTTTTTAAATAAAAAGAATCACTACATTGATGTTGTCTGAAGGAGATTTCCATAGTTTCTTTACCTTTTTATTAATAAAATAATTAAAATACCGTTTAAGGAATATATCAGATCTATTTGTGCTGAATTTGACATTTAAGTATGAGCTTATTCAGCCACCCATCTGTTCAATTTCATAAAACAATAAACTCCTTTTTTCTGACTCTGCTATTACGCACCATGTGGATACTACATACACACCACTATTACTTAGTCATCATCAGTGTTCAGCTCAGGTGCCTGATTGTGTTTTTTTTCCACATGCATAAGTCCTGATGGGAGCTTTTTCTCTGAGGATTACAGCGCTGATCATATCCCATTTTAACCCACAATAAAAACATCAATCTAATGCTGCGTTTCCTCTGCTTTTATCCATTTGTCAGGGTGTACATCGTCACGTGGAACGTGGGATCAGCTGTCCCACCGGATGACATCACGTCTCTGTTTGGACCAAATGTTTCAGATGGGAGCATAGACATGTTTGTCATCGGGTAAGTGTGTATTTCTGGACAGCTTGGCAGTACCAGAGTGACAGCAGCGCATGCCCACTCAGTCATCTGTGGTTCTCTGCCCCAACAGTCGCTGTCCTTTTTTTTCTTAAAGTTTGGTTTACGGATGTTTGTAAAATTTTCTTGCTTCTGTCACCATCCAGATTCCAGGAGGTTAACTCAATGATAAACAAGAGGCTGAAAGATGTTCTTTTTTCAGACCAATGGAGCGAGCTTTGCATGGATACATTAAGTCCCTTTGGATATGTTTTAGTAGGTACATCTATATCCTTCTTTGTCCAGTTGGGAAGTTCTGATGAACTGATTTTGTATTTTTCCATCCTTCTTTTCTGTTCAGGTCGCGTCCCAGCGGATGCAAGGGGTGCTTCTGCTTGTTTTTTCTAAAATCTGTCACCTTCCATTCCTCAGAGGTGTGCAGACCCAGAGTACACGGACAGGACTTGGGGGATACTGGGTAAGAAGAGTGAGGTGTTTTTTTTTTTTACCCTGTGCAAATTTGTTTGGGGTTAGTGAGTTGGCCGGCAGGAACGTGGAACGTTGCAGACAGAGGTAGGGCCTGCGCTCCCTCCTGCTGGCAGCTGCATGAATGCGTGGGTGCATATGTCAGCGTGTGACCTTCCCGTGCATGTTGATGTCAGCATCCCCCGCTGGCTGCTGCTGCTGCAGTCACCTTCCCTTTGAGGTCAGTGCAGCAGCAGGATGTCTGACTCTGATGCCACGGCTTAATGTTAGGAAAAAAGAAAACTCTTTATCCTGTGGGACAGATCTGATTTATATACTCTAGTTGTCCTTTACTTCTCCTAGCTATTCTGTAGTAGAAATACACTCTTGTTGTGTTTTTAGGGGAATAAAGGTGGAGTGAGTGCAAGAATGACAGTGTTCGGCCACCCAGTGTGTTTTCTCAACTGTCACCTGCCGGCTCATATGAGGAACTTGGAGCAGCGGATGGAGGACTTTGAAAGCATCCTTCAGCAGCAGCAGTTCGAAGGAGGCAATGCCACTGGTGTGCTGGACCATGAGTGGGTGATTTTACCTATGATAAATCATGCTAGATGAGGTTTGCAGAATTATTATAAATAAAATATTTCTGTAGTTTATTTTAGGTTAAAAAAAATTGGAAAACACAGTTTCAAATCTTAAAAAAGCGGTTCATTAGTTTAGATGTAATTTTTATTTCTTGCTTGACTTATAACTTACTGATGTATTTGGCCTAAATTATTGGCAGAATTTGTATAAAATTCAACTATATTAGTTTGCTTCTCAGCAAAGCTTTCAAATGTAGTTCACACATTTCAACCTAATTTATAGAAAGTCCAAATATTATCTGGAGAGATTACTTATAGTCAAAGATTGAACTTTTTGGGTTAATGTTAAGCATGTTGCTTCAATAATAATAATTTTGCTCAAATTATGTTTTGTTTGGGGCTTTTTCTCCACTTTGATTCTAATGGGTTTTCTATCAAGTTAGGATTTAAACCCCATATCTAAGCTAGTTTTGGAAATGGCTATCCAGGATGAAAGGTTAGAATTAAAAGAGACATATGGCAAATGAAAAACATTACATTTTAAGAGATTTCAGTTTTTTTCTCAGTTAACCTGTTGCCAACATTTGAGTTGAACTAGTAGAAAAACGTCTTTTTAACCCGGATCAGAATACCTACTTATCTGTTTTTGCTACATTTATCTACCACTAATAAAAGCATTTAAAAGCTACCAACAGTAACACAACAGTAACCCTAACCCTAACACCTCTAAAAGGACATTTGACTGATCTTAAATATTTACTAAAGTAAAGGTACCATGATAGAGTCAATGCTAAAAGTCCTTTTAAATGAAAAAAAAAAAGGACAGCTTTTTTCTCCTCCGACCTACATTCAATCTTCTTGCAGCCAGCAATCTTCTTTATAGCTACGCACATAACAGGCCAGGGGAGAATCAGGGCTCAGGATAATTAAACTCTGGGGAATAAAGGTTCAGGGTGGCATAATGGAAACATACGTAATGAATCCTGAAAAAGAAAGCAAAATAAGCTGCCTGTTTGTTTGTATTTAACCAAGAACATATCAGCACTTAGGAAACAAACTAACATTTTCATCATCTGCAGTTCACCCATAGATAGTTGTTAAATAGCCACAACTTCAGAAAAGAGAACAGGCTACAGATAACACATTATTTAATTTATAGTTGGGTTAAGAGGAATTTCTAAACTGATAGATATTAATAAAAAACACAAAGACAAAACTGATATTTATTTAATAAATGTACCTTCCTACCTTGGCCAAGTTACCTCTATATTTGTGTTGTCTCATGTCTCTAGTCAGGAATGAGTTTAACTCCTATTAATCAAACCAATTCTTCATCAGTGTTTCTTTTTTTTTAATCCTTACAGTTTTTGTTTTTTTTCCCCCTAAATAGCTCTAAAGGGCATATTTTACTTTTTTATTTATTCTGTTTACTATACATTGGTGTGTCCTTTTGGCCATTTATCTCTAGTCTTTCTTTTTTCCAAAAAACAACATTTTATATTATGTTTTTGTAATATAAAACTGAAAAAGGGAAGTAATAAAAAAAAACAACACTTCCTTTCTAAGATTTAATTGATTCAGCACAATTTGAAACACTTATTTCCTAGATTTGTGGGCCTAATGTATCAGGGTTAAGGGTTATTTGGTTTTTTAAACTGACTCTAACATCCAATGCACATTATTTAATTTAAGGGATGTATTTCATTATACTTTTCTACCATTTCTAGTTATTTCAAGACGTCCTTCTTACGCCTACATACCAGGCCTTTGTTTGTGTTTACAGTGTCGTGTTTTGGTTTGGGGACCTAAATTTCCGTATCGAAGACTACGACATCCATGTGGTGAAATGTGCCATTGAAAGCAGCAAGCTGCCTCTTCTGTGGGAGCGTGATCAGGTGAGGTGCCTTTATCATTTGAGCACAGAAACATGGATTCCTCTGAAGGGTTTGCTTGTTGACAGCAGCCAGCAGAGGGAGCTATAGCTTTAAATTAAGGAAACTCACAATGGTGACATTATGTCCTGTCTTTCTGCTTTATTGTTTTATCTCCAGCTCAACATGGCTAAAAACACAGAGTCCATCTTGGAGGGCTTCATGGAAGGAGCGCTTAAGTTTCCACCTACATATAAGTTTGATGTGGGGACTCACACATATGACACCAGGTCTGCTCATGTATCTTCATCACATAGAAACCCTTATCAGTTTAAGTGGTGCATATTATATATTCATATTCTATACAGCATATGAATATAAAGAGCACTATTAAAAAGCAGGAAATAGCCAAAAAGTTGCCATAGAGCCATAAAACTTTAAATCAAAGTATAAGAGAATATGGATCAAACACAAAAGTAGAGATAGTAATTTTTCTGGATGATTTTAAGTTTATGATATGAATATTTATAAGCAAATTTTTCCATTGAGGAAAGGGAAGTTAGGAGAGATGTCTGGGAAACGTAGTTTGGAGACTTAACCAACTGGCATCCTCCAGAGACAGTAAAAAGAGCTTTACACAGCAGTCAGTGGTTAACCAAAGGGGAAAATAAGCTACTAGAATTCTTAACTAGAATTAACTAGCAATATTATTGTAGTTTAACAACATGCACTTTTTAAATTGCAGAGGGACTGAATTTTAGTCTTGTTATATTTAACAAGAGTAAGACACAACATTTCTTCTTCAACCCTTTAGATTTGTTTTTACTTACATTTTTTTTTACTTATTTTTCTCTGTTTTTAATAGTGTTACAATGTGTTATTGTGTGAAGCACTTTGTGACCTCTGTCTGTGAAAAGGGCAGCAGAAATAAAATTTAATTAATTACTAATTATTACAATTAATTAGGTAATACACTTAAAGGGGGTTTTCTGCCATTCAGAAAAGGAAGGAAGAGAGCTGCTACTAGCAAAAGTTACTGTAAAGTCCTGCGACAATGAACTGTAGACAAGAAAACTTTCAAGTTTATTGAAAAAAAAAATGAAACTCTGGAGTTAAAGAAATTAATATGTGCTTAATGCAAAGGAAAATTGCAATAAAGTTGCAATTCCAACATTTGATAAAAATAAACCCAATTTTAATTTTTGGCTAAATTGTTGAAATTGCTATTCCTCACCAGAATAATGTATATTTTTTAAGGTTTTAGCTGTTGTCCCTATTTTATGCGCAAACATTAAACTTAGACACAGTAATGTAGCTGTCGTACCTTTTCCCATTTACACCCTCTATCACAGCATTTAAACTGTGTAAATCAGTTCTTATGTTGTTTAGCTTTAAAAGAGAGCCCAAATTTTTTTTTGGCTGAGACATAGACAAAAAAATAAACCCCATTTTATGCAAATATAATAATGTAATTATCTAATAAACAGAGGCTCAGTTAGTCTAAGCTGTGAATTGAACCATGTTGTGTCGTCATCCCTCTGCTTTGAGTTGTCGCTTTCGTTGACCTCTTTATTGTTTCAGAATTATTGAACAAAGGGTGTTTTCATCATTGAGAAAGTTTTCGGTAGATGAGGACAGAGGAGAAATCTGTTCTTCCTGTTTGTGTGTATTTCTAGATGTTTTCTGTACTAACATCTTTAAAGCATAGGTGATCACTATATAATGTCAGGAATATGTCACCATTTGACATTTTCCAATTAAAAAAGAGTTCCTTTAATCCTCAGAAAAGAGATTTTTTTTTTATCACTTTCCTCCTTTGAAGCCCAAAGTAAAGACTAAGAGGGATTTACCTGCACTTAAACTCAGGCTTACTCTCTAATTCTGTCAGTGCTAAGAAGAGAAAACCTGCCTGGACGGACCGTATCCTGTGGCGCCTTCGTCGCACCGGCTCCCCTGTTCCTACCCACAATGCATCATTGCAGCGGGGTCTGACCTCATGGTTGGGTGGAGCCACTAAAGTCATACAGCATAAGTATCAAAGTCACATGGGCTTCACCATCAGTGATCACAAGCCTGTTTCCTCATTGTTCTCACTACAGGTGGGGCCAACTCTCTGTTTTTCTTTAGAACTACATGTTCTCCCTGTTACCGTTTATTTATTTTAGCCTCTGGCTTCTATAGTTCCCATTCAGGGTAGACCTTCCTCTGGTGGAGCTGCAGGTGAATAAGGAGTGGTGCAAAGCATCAGACTCCACTGTCAGATTTACTGTTGCTTCAACATATCAACGCAGCTCATGGGACTGGGTAGCAATTTACAAAGTACGTCATAAAATAATTGTTAAATCAAAGTTCGGACTTTCCTCCTATCATTGTTGACACATTTCTCTCTGAACAGATGAGATTCAGACATCACAAGGATTATCAGGCATATGTCTGGGCCAAAGGAGAGCATGCTACACAGGTTTGTTCAGGACTGGAGCTAATAAATATAATTGAAGATCAGAGTTAATGCTAATTCAGAGCTGACTGGTGTCCTTTTTAAAGGTGACATTCTCAGAAGAGGATTTGCCAAGGGAGGACTGTGAATACATCCTGGGTTACTTCAGTAATATCATGAACAGTATCGTCGGTTTGTCTTCACCAGTCCGGGTAACAAACCTTCATTATTTAACAATGTGATGTGTTTTTAAAATTCAACTCGTGTCAAACTACAATTACTAGGTGTGCAGAATAGAGTACAATAGAATAGAATAAAAAGGAAAATCCTTTTATTGTCCCACAATGGGGAAATTGTGCTCTTACAACAGCATTACAGCAAATCTTAAAAAGTTTATAAAAGTGTATAAGAATAACAGAAAAAGTTAAAAAATATATATATATTTATAAAATAATGTACCGTACAGAGTTTTTACAAATATAAATACTGTGCAGTCATCAGAAGAACAGAAGAATAAATAATCAATACACAGCTGCGGACATTTTAACAGTAGTGTCTGTATGCAGGATTGTTAAAAATCATTTTTTTTACTCAATATTTTATTAACAAAATAATTTCTGTGAAATAAATATAAGCAGTTATTTATTCAAGCTTTTGCTTTTTAAACTTTTCAAAGCATGTAATAACTTTTATTAGTAATAAGAAACTTTTTGATACCCTTTGGCTTAATAATAAAAAATATTACCATGCATTTATTCTCGTATTTTTATAAGAATTAATGAAATTAAATAAAAATTTGAAAATTTGGCCCACAGGCAAAACACTGTGCGCAGTAAAGCACAGCATAACGTTGAACGCTACCTTGTTTTTTTTTTAGAGAAAGGGGTTAGACAGAGTAATCCTGAAAACAAACCTATCAGGCTCATCAACAGACATGAGTGTAGCAGAGATGTACCTTGTGCTAAGTGCTGCTTAATAATTGGAAAACCTTTAATCTTGGTATTATTCTTAAGCACTGCAGCTTACTTACTCTCCTTATTGTTTTTATTCAACATTTCTCCTTAAAGGTCAAATACTAAAACCTTTTTAATCACATGATTCATTTTTTTTTTTCAATTCAAAATCTAAAGTGGGGCAGAAAAAATTTATGGTATATAAATTAATATATTATAAATTAATACTGGTCCAAAATATGTAAGTATTTATTTTTGGTCATGATGTTGATATCTACAGTGAAGGATTCTACACCAATAGGAAGCATAGGTTCAAGTCATGTGAGCCATAGCTCAGGCATCATCAGATCCTAGTGGATCCATGATAGAGCTGAGAAATGGGTTCTTCAAAAAGGAGCAAACCAAGAGTGAGCATCGGCAAGCTTTTGAAGTTGGATGCTGACTTAAAGAGGCTCTGAAGGCACACAGGGGTCCCTGCTCTTCTTATGAGTTGATCATTTAAATGTTTGGTAAACAGTACAAAAAGAGAGCAGACAAATGAACAAGGGTACCGCTTAGTGGTGGGAGGAGTTAAGCTATCTATCACCTTTAGCCTTTAACAGTCATAAAGATCTACTTAAAAAGTATGGTCATTCGAAATAGTTAAAAAGTTCATAGAGAATCAGAGTTTCAATGCATGGAAGACTTGAAATTGTCTGTGCAGAGACTCTGCCTCCCAAAGTGACAAAGTTTGAGCTGTTTTCCAAAGAAATAAAACCTGCTTCTATTCCAAGACACCTGAAGCTGCAACTGTATCCCTGAACGTTCTTAACACAAAGGCATACCACACTTTTTTGTGTTTTTATTAGAAAAACAAATTAAAAACATATATAGATCTATTACATCAACTCCAATAAAATTAAGTATATGTTTGTAACAACTCATGGAAAAATTCAAGGCATTAAAATGTTTAAAAGGCACTCTTTGACATATCTTAACCGTAACATTTTCCCCCACCATCAACAGATCAGGATGCCTGTCCACAGCCCCACTTTGTGCCGCTCTGACAGCTCCAACGTCAGCTCAGAAGATGACAGCACAATGGTTCTCCTGTCTCCAAACTCCCGCAGTCCGAGCCCAAAGACTGGCAAACGCCATCATCGACACCGCCGTAGTCGCAGCCCCGCCGTGTCTGCACTCTCATCTAACCCCCTTCCGGCCCTACAGGGCCTCAGCTTGTGTCCTCGCGCAAAAGAGGGCCAGTCACGAAGCCGCTCGCCATGCTCTGCTGCTAAAAAGGAGCGCCTGGTCTCCCCCGACACTGTGCCGTCTCCCATCATCAGCCCCCTCAGCCCTCGCAGCCCTGTGTCTCCGGGCAGTGGGGTGAGTGCACCGGAGGCCCTGATTGTAGCCATCTTAGGTGAACACAGTCCAGCTCAGGTTAGCCCCACAGGTTTAAAACAGATTGGGAAGCAAGTTGAAACAGAGACGAGGAGGGCTATAAAGAGATAAAACAGGAAAAACAAGATCTGCACAATCATGGTCTGACCTGAGGGAAGCTGCACATTTATAGACTCTAATGTAGTTTGCAAACATTCCTTGTTGCAGTTTCCTGTTAGTGAACCTACAATCATCTCATACAACTCTGTGCTGTATGTATATCTTTGAGTCAGAAATGTGAGCAGACTCTTGTGTTCTCATAAAAAGTGATGTTATAAACAAGCTGAATGTAAAACCAAAGTCTGAACAAACCTGTGAGGGGACCACCTATCACTGAAAGCAACATGGCTCCATGCAACCAGTCTGGTATCGAAATTAGGACTCTGAACCGCTATTGATGGTATCATAGTTCACAGCTAAGACAGGACGTGTCTGTGTGAATATAAGTTATCTAAACCTAACTTATTTCTTTAGATGCACAAAACATAATGAGTTTAGCTCTGTTCAACTCGGTCTGTGTTAACAAGTTTAGTTTCAGTGTCCAAATCTGCACACAGAGCTTTGTGTCACCTCAGTCTTGAATCTACATGTGAGCTGTAATCCTAAACCAATGCTCTTATTCCTCTTAGCAGCTTTGTGAACTAGGCCCTAACACTCCAGAGCTGGATGCTGACACCAACTTACTGTTTTCCATCAAGGGCAGAGTGTTGTTTGATTGTGCAAATAAAATCTGAATGGATAAAAAATCAAATATATTGGATTCTGCCTCTTCATGGTACAATAATCCTGTGCTTGTTACATAAGGGATGTGTGTAGAATTTAAAACACTCCAAAAAGAATCTCTAACCGCCTCTCTAGCAGCAACATCTTGTGACATGACTTGGACTTTAGCTTCTTGATGTAAAAGTGCTTAGACAGACCAAAGATCAGACCTGTTTGATGAAAAAGAAAAATAAAGCAACCAAACGGAACCAGCATTCAGTTGAAACCCTTGGGCTTTGTTCAAATGACAAATGTATTCATCCTTTTTGTTTAGCCGTCAAATATTACTTAAAATGTTCACTTTAATTCTGCACAGATATGTAGCAAACATGTTATACAATGGGTGTATTAGGTTTCAGTGAGGAAAACAGGGGCTTTGAATGGATTTTCTGCAGCATGAATCAATAATAAGCTAAAAGTGTTTCACTTAGATAGCTAAAAAGCAAAACAAGTGCTAAGCTCCTGAACGTTCACAGTTCTGTACAAAATATACATGTATTCTTTTTTTTCATTTCCCTAACAATGCCTTTAGGTAATTAGTTTTTGGATTACAATCAGATCTAAAAACAGACAATGGGAAAAGCAAACTTAGACTAATCAGCTCCAAGTAGTTTTACCTGAAACCAGCTGTTTTGTGATTTAATTAACCGAATCTACAGATTTCCATTAGTTAGCCCAAGCCTGTCAAGCCATTAGCTGTGTAAATTCTTTAAAAAAAGAAAAGAGAAGTAATTTTAAAATATACTTAAAACTGTAACATTTTTATTCCTGGATCAATAGTGATGAGTTCACTTCCCCTAGAAATCCATAAAACAAACAAATCTCCCATCTACTTTCATACGAAAAACGTCCCTCAGTGTAATAGGGTTTGGGTCATCCAGGCCTGCAGGGGGCCTCAGAGAGTTTTTGAATCTGTTACCAAATATCTGTTTTTACTCTTATTTGAGTAATCCCATGGATGAATAGTTTCTACTTTCATGCAGTCAAAAAGATGTTAAAATAGTGCTACTTTTACTTGAGTAACTACATTTTTTGTTGTACTCTACTCACCTCTATCTATTATGAATATATAAACTTTAGAATGAAAATTCAGCCAAAATGCTTCAATGTAATGTTAGTACGGAAGAGGATTAGGGCCACTGGAAAAAAAAAAAGTTAACTGATTTTTACATTTTATTTCAGTGTACGAGAAAAAAGTCAGAATTCTGAGATTAAACTCAGAATCCTAAGAAAAAAATCAGAATTCTTACTTTAATCTCAGAATTCTGACTATTTTCTCAGAATTCTGACTTTTGTCTTAGGATTCTGAGTTTAATCTCAGAATTCTGACTTTTTTCTCAGGATTCTGAGTAATATTATTTTAGTTTAATATGGGGAAAAAGTCAGAATTCTGACTTTAATCTCGGAATTCTGACTTTTTTCTCAGGATTCTGACTTTAATCTCAGAATTCTGACTTTTTTCTCAGAATTCTGACTTTAATCTCAGAATTCTGACAGCTAACAAACATGTTAGCATTAGACAGAAGAGCATTAGGGCCACTGAAAAAAAAAGTTAAATGATTTTTAAATATTATTTCAGTTTAATATGGGGAAAAAAGTCAGAATTCTGACTTTAATCTCAGAAGAGCCATGAATAATAATAATACATTTTATTTCAAGCGCCTTTCAAAACACTCAAGGTCACTGTACATGTAAAAACAATAAGAATGAAGAAGAGATATGGGAGCACTCAACTTCACTGACAAAGATGTGAGTTATTTGGGAGGGCCAGTAACACATTGGTGGAAAATGAGGGAATTAGGCGACTTTTTACGTGTCTGAGGGGTACCTGATGATGCTAGACCAGAAGGTGATTAAAACAAGAGAGCTAGTTTAGTCTCTAAAACAGACATGGCTATGGCTTGATGCTAACATGTTTGTTAGATGTCAGATAAAGTCAGAATTCTGAGTTTCTCATATCATACTGAAATAAAATTTAAAAATCACTTAACTTTTTTTATTTTTTCAGTGGCCCTAATACTCTTCCGTAGAATCAAGCCATAGCCATTTCTGTTTTAAAGACTAAACTAGCTCTCTTGTTTTAATAACCTTCTGCTCCTCCATCAATGAAATAGCATCACCAGGGACAGGGACCCCTCAACCACGTAAAAAGTCACCTAATTCCGTCATTTTCCACCAATGTGTTACTGGCCCTCCCAAACAACTCACATCTTTGTCATTGAAGCTGAATGCTCCCACGTCTCTTCCTTCATGGTGCCCATCTACATTCAGATCCAACATTCTGGGATTAAAGTAAGAATTCTGAGAAAAAAGTAAGAATTCTGAGATTAAAGTCAGAATTCTGAGAAAAAAGTCAGAATTCTGAGAAAAAAGTAAGAATTCTGAGATTAAAGTCAGAATTGTGAGAAAAAAGTCAGAATTCTGAGAAAAAAGTCAGAATTCTGAGATTAAAGTCAGAATTCTGACTTTTTTCTCATATACTGAAATAAAATTTAAAAATCACTTTGTGCCTCATATTCCTTTCTTTTTCTTTCTTTACAAAGACCGCTATTTTTTACACAGAAAACCAGCCGCCACCTTCTGACAACATAATCTGCTACTCTAGATGCTCAGGATAAGGATACAGGCTTTTCTCTCCTCGTGGACATCTTTGTTTTGCTGGATCCGGACACGCCCCCAGCACCACATGGTCCAGCCGAGCTTTTCATCAGATCCCTGTAGGCAGATGACTGTAGGAGTCCCTTAAATACGGCTCTCTGCCCTCTTAGCTCGCATTCAGCAGCCGTAGCTGTCTATTGGTGTTTCCATTATAAGCCCGGGTGAAGGCTGCTTTGAGCTTTACGATCTATTAGCGCGCGCTGTTAGCCAACCGTGTTTGAAAATGAACGGCCATCTGAACGGGTTATACAGCGATTCTCTCCACGATGAGGACTGTTTCCTCTTCACCTCCGAGTCAGTTGGAGAAGGTCATCCCGGTAAGTTTTGTTATGTCGCCCTTTGTCTTGCAAAGCGCCCCCATTTTAGTGACCCAGATAATTAGCTTAGCATCCTGTTAGCTTCTCAAATAAGGTCACGCGGCTGGTTCCTGTCAGCGTGTCAGGATTATTTAATTGCTAGCTTTAAAATGTATTAAAAGTGTGGAATTGCAAAAGAAAAAAAATGCAAGAAATAATTAAAATATGAAATAGAGATAAAAATGTGTGTTAAGCATTAAACTAGAAAGATGTACATATGTAGCGATAGTTCGCTTCATCCACCTAAAAACGAAATTATATCGAGTGACTCTTACAATACTTTTCAAAGATCGAGTTTCACACTCTTAACATTTTATAACAACTCTTTGTGTATTTTAAGCGGTATTTTCAGACTGATAAGGGGCTCCAGTCCATGCTATTAGCCATAATGTGGCTAGCTACTGAAGCTAACACATGTTTCAGGAGTTGTGCCTGTCAATCACAGGCTGTGTTCATGCTGTCTGTTTTTTGGCACATAAATAAAAGTTTTTTTTCTTGGCTTTATAGATGTTACATCTACTCTATGATCAGCTTTAGTTTAGCATCATGAGTAAAAGTACCACTGAATCCATACATTTACATTAATAATATTTAGCCTTAATGTTTATCAGTCTTTTTGCTTTTGTTGATTATTTTAAGCCCTTATTGCACGGTCATTCATTTAACCATAAATATTGCAGGTTGCCTGATTGCTTAATTGCTTTAGCTTCCAAGTTATTAAAACAAATCCTGGTTATAGGCAACTGATAGTACAGTAATTGGTTCGGGGTGGACAGTAGTTGTATAAATATAATATAAGTAGTAGTATATAAGCTTTGAAATTATAACAGTTTATAGCGTAATTAAGATTTTGAAAATCATTATGTGCAAAAAGTACACGATTGTGTATTTAAAAAAAATATCATAGTACATCTGTAAGTGCAATATTTAACCTAAACTTATGCTATTGTTTAATAACAAGCACCATGGTCTTCATATAATAATAATAATAATTTAACTTTATTGATCTCACATTGGAGAAATGTACCTATGCATTTAACTCATCCCCTTGGGGAGCGGTGGGCTGCCATTGTGTGGCGCCTGGGGAGCATTGTGGGGTTAAGGGTCTTGCTCAGGAGCCCAGAGTGGAGGCAGTGGGATTCGAATCAATTACTTGCAACCTGGTCAGAGCACAAGCGCACTGGCTTCATATGCGCACTAGGCATATGAAGCATCTCATCACCAAAACACATTCCTTGTATGTGTAAAAAAAAAAAAACCCCAAAAACAAGCTGGCAATAAAACATTTTTTGATTCTGATCAGAGCATCTATTTTTGAATAATTAATTATTCAGTTCAGGTTTGACTCTGAGTATTTCAATTGCACACTATAGCTTGCTTTAGCTTATCATAGAGGTAGGTTTGGTTTGATTTGAATGAAAGCAGAAACCTAGCTCACTCTAGATGCAAATTTGTATTTATTGTGTTCGCCTTTAAGTACACTTGGAATAGATATAAAGCTTCGTTTTGCTCTAATTATTTTCCAAGAAGAGTTTATAGAAAAAGAGACAGCATTAAAAGATTAATAAAATATTTGTAGTGCATTTATGAATTAAATGTGTGCTTCCTGAACCTGCTAGCTTCCAGATTTTACAGCACACCAGCTCTACTGCTAAGGGTAATAGGCTTAGTTCTACTTCTAAGTACTCGACAGGCTACTCGCCCATCTGTGAGTGTAAAGAAGTCAAATCATTGCAGGCTTTTTATGAATACTGGGTAAGATTTGCTGTAACACATCCAGGTTAATTCAGATGCTGTCATGATTTGTGCAAGATCAGTGCATCACGCAGATCGGAATAGATATAGGAATAGGGATGTATAGGCTCTAATATAATTGCGTTTTATTAGTTCATCCCAGTTTTCATCCCAATTTATGTCAATTTCTAAACTTTCTACTACCTAGTGGTTAGGTGATAGAGCTTAGAATCCTGAGGTTTGAAGTTCAAGCCCCACTCCCACAGACTGCCACTCTGGGTCTCTAAGCAAGACCCTTAACCTCCGATTGCTCTCTGAACGCCCCACGACGTTAGCCCACTCCTCCCCAGGGGGGATGGGTTAAATGCAGAGGTAAATTTCTCCAATGTCAGATTAATAAAGTTCAGTTATTATTATTATTGATGACTGCATACGTTTTTTTAAAGGTTAACCATCAAAAACCCCAGCTCTTGTCTGTACTTTAGCTTTGCTTGTTTGTTCTGAAATTTATTATCAAAGCTTATTTCCACTAACTGTGGTTCTGATCTTTGTTTGGCCCATTTCACTCTGATCAAACATGACGGATAACATTAAAAAAAGCCCTGGAGGACCTTTATGCTGGCAGATGATATTTATCTGAGTCACATAACCAAATTTCCTTGCTTAACATCAGGAGTAGATTATAGAAAATTGCTTTAAATCTTTAAAAACAGAAGGTACACAGCATAGCTGCCTTAGGCTACTATTAGCTGGTTTCTGTTTTGTCGTTTTGCATCCCCTTAAGTAACACTCTGATAAGGAACTGCTGCATCATGCAAGAGCAGATGTGATTATCACCATGGACAGCGGACTTTTATTGCTAAGGTTTTGTTTTTATGTCAAACATGGTTTATGTACACATGCTAGTAATGCCTAGATATCTGTTAAATGGGAAGACTCAAATAGATACTTAATTAAAAATTGGTTTGATTTAGCACTTGGTTTATATGGTTGATTTTGGGTGGGGGCTCTCCTCACCAGCCTTAAGCAATCAAAAAGAAAATACAGTACAATTAAAGAACAAATGTCATGTTATGGTGAAATTTTTATTTTAATTTTTTTTAAAGAAATTACACCTGTTTTTCTTAAAATGCTTTTTTCCACAGATAAGATTTGTGACCGGATAAGTGACGCTGTGTTGGATGCTCATCTGAGACAGGACCCTGATGCCAAGGTAGCATGTGGTAAGTTTAAAAATATATATATTCTATGGTAAACATGCTTTTAAACCAACTGAGAGCAACATTTGTGTGGCTTTTATTTTTTTTTTTTATTATTATTAGTATAAGAATAGATTCTTTTCAGATCAAAACTTCAGTTAACCCATCCTACCTGCTCTGTTATAGATTGAAGGTCCCTTTTGTTTGTTTTCTGGCTCAATGAAATGATTGTTTGCTTTGTTGCTGAATGCGCCCAGAATGCAGATGATTAAAGCTGTAAAAGCTTTCAGGTTTCAGTGAGGTTGTCCTTAATGGACCAGATGCAAGCAGCGCATATTATTCACTGTGGTTTTCAGCTTCTCTTCATCTCCAGCTAAATTGGATTGAAAATATTAGATCAATATTGTCGTCATACTTTGCTGTTGTTTTTTGTTGAAACAAACAAAGTCTAAAATTAGGATGATATCTTCAGTATCGTACCAGAGTACGGTTGTTGTTTTAACTTTGTTACAAAGAGAATTGAATATATATCCCTTAAACTGCATGTATTTGTTTGTCCCCAGAGACCGTAGCTAAGACGGGGATGATCCTGCTTGCGGGGGAGATCACCTCACGGGCCAATGTTGATTATCAGAAGATTGTCAGGGAGACGATTAAGGACATCGGCTATGACGACTCCTCCAAAGGTACTCTTAAAAGTGAAAGTTTGGGTTAGATTATGCTACATGCTGTTTAAAGCTCTTTTTATTTGTTGATTTTTTCCATTCGGCAAAAATAAATAAGTATTGAGGGAAGCAAAGTTTTATCATGGCTTAACAGGCCAATTTAAACAAGGAGTGTCTGGTTCTAGTAAACAAAAATAGATTAGTTTATTGATTTTTACTCACCAGACAAATAAGCAGACCACTCTATTTAGTGTTTTTACAAAACTACAAAGTAAGCTTTTATAATGAATCTTAATCTACCTCATTGAACTAGATGTTCTTATCCTCACATTTAAAGAAACGTGTCTGCAAAACTAACCTTTTAAAGTGGGCCATTAAGACAATTTAAAAAGTATATAAATATGTATCCATGTCTACATTAAATTATGTCAAAATCTGGTATCAGATCTTTTTAAAAAGGAAGAGTCATGGATTTGAAGGTAGAGGTGGAATAAATGATTGATGTTAATTCAGATACTGTGAAACCATGCCAAATTAGACCCAGTGTTGCTAGTTTTTTTTTTTTTAGAGGAACTGCAATCTGTGAGAAAGTCCTTTGTAGTATTTTAATTTTATGCCCTGTATGTTAGGGATGCACGATATAATCGCCCCCCTATCGGTATCGGCCTGTATCGGCCTTAAAACTGAATATCGGACATTGGCCACCCCACCGATATTTAACCCCGATATTTGATCAGCTTCTGAGTTTCTAAAGTCTAAAAAAAAACAAAAAACTACTTCTTCCTCAAAAACTTGTTTTTTACAGATTTAAAAACTTCTAAAGACGAGGGTAAAAATATTGATACATTAAAATATCACAATATCTTCATATGCTGATATATTGCCATTTAAAAACACCATATCAATCTCTTTTACTAATGAAATATTGCTATATGTCATCGTTATGCTACGAAATCCCCCGAAAATTCACGAAATTTTGCCATATTTTTATATGTTGATATATTGACGCGGTATCGATCTATTTTACTAACAAAATCTCACAAGAATTTGCAAAATATCACGAGAGTTTGTAACAGAACGCTGAAATTTCACGAGATTTTGAAAGTAAAATAGATCGATACCGCGTTTTTAAAAATCAATTTGATATCAGCATATGAAAATATATTTGAGTATATTATTTTTCAAAGTGTCAGAAATGGATAACAAAACTGCTATTTTCAATGACTACTTATTTTTGTCCAGCTTTAACATCGGTATCGATATCGGTTATCGGCTACATGAGTTTTAAAATATCGGATATCGGCCAAAATCCCAATATCGTGCATCCCTACTGTATGTGTTACAAAAACACAGAGACACATCCAGAAATTGGAAGTTTGGAAAAGTACAGGGCTTCCGAATTGTTAAAGTGAAGAAATCTCTTAACTTAAACCAGCTCTTGACAGCATTAAAAATGTTTACCACAAATGCATTAATAGCTGATTAGCTGACTCAATTAGGTCTCAGCTCCCTAAAAACAGTTGATTATTTTATCCTCATCCGACCATCTGGAATAGAACGAGTTTATACTGACCTGGATTATAAAAGATTGCTTTAGCCAACGGTTTTCTACAGGCAGGTTCTTTGTTGCCTGCTCTGGCCACACAAAATGTGTCTTACGTAAGAGAGATTGTCACCCTTTTTCATTCCTTTCTTTTTTTTTTATACAGGTTTTGACTACAAGACTTGTAATGTTTTAGTGGCTTTGGAGCAACAGTCGCATGACATAGCTCAGGGTGTTTATCTCGACCGTAAGGAAGAGGACGTTGGAGCCGGCGATCAGGTTTGTGTTCGGTTTACCATCGGACAATTGGCTGATCTTATCAGTTTAATTTGAACTCAATCGACTGTGGCTGTTGTTCGTGTCTCTGACAGGGTCTCATGTTTGGTTATGCTACTGATGAGACAGAAGAGTGTATGCCCCTCACCATCGTCTTGGCTCACAAGCTTAATGCCAAGATGGCGGAGTTGCGTCGAGATGGAACACTGCCGTGGGTCCGACCTGACTCCAAGACACAGGTTAGGCATCGAGGCTCTACCTGCAGCCTTGACTGTTAGAAATAAATTCCTTGTTTTATTATTCAAAAAAAGAAATTTGAGCTAGGAATTAAATGTGTTTATGTATTTATATTTTTTTCTGTATTACTAGTTATCGATTATCTTAAAGGTATAGTGGAGGATGTTCTTTTTCTGGGTGGATCATCAAAATAAGTGGTCCTCCTTAATGTCAATCATTCTGGTGATATGTTTACGTATGGCCTCCTACGTGCATTTTCAGTCGGACATAGTGGAAAATTGCAAATCTTTTGGAAAGTAAGTTTGTTCGAGTGTGCATGTGCATTATTTTATTTATTATTTTATTGGAGAGGGTAGTCTTTTAAAATTGCGATAATCCTCCACTATACCTTTAAATTGGAATGTGAAATGACTGAACCTGCTGACAAGTTATTCGCCTTTCTGCACGGTTTTTAACTGGACCTGCGGTTCTTTGATGTAGTGCCCTTTAGATTTTATATAAAAAACAAGCAAGGAAAAACTATGAAAATGGCCCTTTATCACACCACCATACTGAAAACCACCTTCTGTTTTGTTGCTTAAAGATTCATGACACACAGACAGTAAATAATAATTCAATGTTTAGATTTCTATAATGTATGAAATCCGAGGATGTTGGAAACTCAAAGACGAAAAAAAAACGTTGGCTCTACACAGTTTCTTTATTAACTATTCTAGAAGGAGAAACAATTCAGCTAAACTGCTTGCTGTAAGCCTATTCATAATCTCACTGTAAAGTTATTCACAATATTTATCCATGAGGTTAAAACTGGGATGTTTTATTTCTCGCTGTGAATGCAGCATTACTGCCATCTAGTGGTAACTTTGAGGCTCTTGTTCAGACTTGTGCAATTATTGAGCAAGTTAAGTTGTTGCTTTTTCCCTTTGTTTACAGAACAGGATGATCTTTTGAAGTTTTTTTCTGTGTGTATTTGTGGGATGAATTTATAAATTTCAGCTAGGCATTTTAGGTGGAATTATGGTCCAACAATCGGCCAGGATTGCCAGTCAATATTATTAATATTAGCGCAAAACAATCTTTGGTTAGCTAAAAAAGACCTCAGTTGTTTCTTAATTAGCTGAATGTGTCTTGCTTAACATTGCTTTTATCGGATGTGAAACAAGGACACACAAATATTAAACTTTCTAGGGATTTAAAATCTTATCTGGAAATTATTACATGATAATAAACAAGTGCTCTGATCTTTTGACTCTAGACTCTAATATGCTTGTATATTTTCAGAATTTACAGGGATCATTTGAAGCATCACTTGGTTTCATTAACTTCCTTTATTTATTTTTTTTCTTCAAATTTTTAAAGCCGATCTCAGAGCTTTTCTCCTTTTCCGTCCAGGTGACCGTTCAGTATAGGCAGGACCGAGGAGCCGTGGTGCCGATTCGTGTCCACACCATCGTGATCTCTGTGCAGCACGACGAGTGTGTGAGTTTGGAGGAGATGCGCCACAGTCTGAAGGAGCAGGTGGTGAAAGCCGTGGTTCCATCTGGGTACCTAGACGATGACACTATTTATCACCTGCAGCCAAGCGGCCGGTTTGTCATTGGTGGTCCACAGGTGAGAGAGCGGCCTTTATTGCTTCAGCACTCGGCTGTTGAAGTGAGATTTTTTTATTGTGGTACAGATCATAATGTTTAATATCTTTGCTTCTTTTACAAATAGGAAAAATGATCAAAATATATTTTGTTATCCAGAGTGATGCAGGTTTGACTGGGCGTAAGATCATTGTGGACACCTATGGTGGATGGGGAGCTCATGGAGGTGGAGCTTTTTCTGGGAAGGACTACACTAAGGTTGATCGTTCTGCAGCATACGCAGCTCGTTGGGTGGCCAAATCTCTTGTAAAGGCTGGACTCTGCAGACGTGTCTTGGTCCAAGTAAGAATATACTTCACATACCTACAATTTTAGGAAAACATATGTGAAAGAACCGGAAAGGTTATTTATCATTAAGATAGAAATGTATTGTATAAACATGCACGTTTTTAAAATGTGTGGCTGCTGTTTTAGGTTTCCTACGCTATTGGAGTGTCCCATCCTCTGTCCGTTTCCATATTTCATTACGGGACTTCTCAGAAGAGCGAGAAAGAGCTGTTGGACATCGTGAGAAAGAACTTTGATCTTCGTCCAGGAGTTATCGTGAGGTAAATATTAGTTCCCTATGTGAATTCTGCAGTGAATACAGCAAATTCAGATTTAACTTTACAGTACAGGGAGTTAAATTGGGTGTGGTGTCTTGGTGAATGTAAAATTCAGTTTATAGAAAGTAAGACCAACCTCTCTGAAGTTGATTCCTAATATTTTGGCAATTAGCATTTAAAAATGCTTAAAATAAAAAAATTACACATTTTCCAGAGTTAAATTTAACTACTTAAAGGTATGAAAGAGGATTTTTCTCAGAAATTAAGTGTCCAGATTCATCTAATTTCAATGACTGGCCTAGAAAATATTAGCCAATCCACTTTTATAGTTGGCAAGCTGGATTTGGCTACTTGTTTGTCAATCAAGCATTTAGCGTCCATGCCCGCAGTTCGTTATTGACGCAGGCTCCATGCGTAACTCATACGCTCTTTGGCTAGCGGTCCGCCATTACGCTGAAGAACAAAGAAGTAGTCCTGCGCTTGTTTACTACTGTGGATTTTTTTTTTTTTTTTTTTTTTTTTTTAGCGACTTGTAATTTTCGGACTATAAGGCGCGACTTTTTTCCCCATTTTTCGACCTTGTGGCTTATATAACAATGCGGCTTATCTATGGACTTTTACAGCTAACGGCCTCTAGGGTAATGCCTAAATCTATGGATTTTATCATCCACCATGTTGACGTCACATTTGCTTCAACACACAAGTACGGTAATGCGGAGGTCCTGTCCTCTGGAAGCAGACTTCTACCGCGAGTAACGCGACAGAACGACAGCGAGAAAGACGGACATTAAACATAAAAAACCTGCGGCTTATAGTTCCGGTGCGGCTTGTATATGTACAAATCATGCAATTTAGCTTCTGTGGCTTATATTCAGGTGCGGCCAATGGTCCGAAAATTACGGTAGTTGAAAAGAGGAGAGAACACCAAGTGTGTTTATGAGATTCTTTTCAGAGGTGGTGTGCCCAGAACGAGCAAAACGATCTGAAAACAGATGCTTTGGACATGTAAATTACATTAAATTCTGTAGTAAGTACTGTATTTATTTTTCTTTTTTTATGAAACATGTACAGTCGAAAACATGTAAAGTAGTGTATTGACAACAAAGGATATGCAGTCTGCATTCCCTGTTGGTAGCCTAGCTGTGTCTACTAGCTACATGCGGGCAGTTCAAGAAGAGGCCATTTTAAGTTGTAGCAGAAGCAGCGAGAACACACTAACAAATTGTAAATATAACGTGCTGTGATGATGCTGACAGAGACCTCCTCTTCTTATGGAGATTTCCTGCTGACTAGGTGCATCGTGGCTCTTTGCTACCTCTCTAGGTGAAAGACAAAATTATCAGCAGAGGCATTTCCAGCGTGGAGAAGTTTGCGAGGGAGGGGGCACTGACGCATGCACACGATTAATAAATACACAAACAGCCGTTGGACGTATCTTCCACCACAGAATCCTCTTTCCTGCCTTTAATTAAAGGAAGGTTCTGCTTATTTTGATATTGCTTGAACATATAGTGAAGCTGCGCTATAGCTTGCAGATTTTCTCCATTATTTTGTTTGTCTGCCTCTAAAGGGACCTTGACCTGAGGAAGCCCATCTACCAGCGCACAGCCGCCTACGGTCACTTCGGTCGTGACTTGTTCTCATGGGAGGTTCCCAAGAAGCTGAAAAGCTAAAGCTCCCTGCTCTCTGCAGCCAGCCCCTGCCGTCCTGCAGATAAACCCTTTTGTCACCCCATCCTCTCCTCCTCTTCTCTTTGTTTTGCTTGTACATCAGAACACCGTCAGACTAGATGGCCTTTGTCAAAGTGTTTGCAAAGTTACTATTATTTCTTGCTTTATCTTAGTTGTTGGTCATTTATTATTCATTCATTGATGGATTTCAGATTGAGGTTTCTAAGTTGTGACATCTCTCCTGCATCTCACTGCAGCACAGATGAGGAAGTGAGCCACCTTTAAATAGTAAAAGCATCACACTCCTTTTTTCTGTTTCTTTCAGACTTCGATGTTACAAACGGAAACCAGACGACTATCATTTAGCTGTGTGTGCAGGCCCTTCATGCCATTGTTCTTTTTCTGACGTTTTACAGAGAAGTCAGAAGCTGCTAATGACCTTATGGTTATGTTGGAACTGCACAGATTAATGTATTTTGTAGATATTTATTTTCTAGGATTAAACGTCATTGCCATGTTCTAAACTATTCAGTATGTTGACTAAGATAAAAGCACAGAGATCACTTTATTTCTGAAGGCAAACACTTCTTCGCCCTGATTAGTCGTCGCCTTTTCCCCACATCAGCTCAACACAGATCATTTTGTGACTGTTGCCAGACCGAGGAGTTTAACCAGCAGGGGGACAGCCTATAACCCCCCCTCAGTCCAGCTTAGCATGAAATTTAGTAATATAGGAGACTATAAGATGGAGCTGCATCCTGTTGGTGTATTGATTGTATTACTCCCCTCATTTTCTCTTTAAAAATAACAAAAGTGGAACAGGCTTTAACAGTGATTTGTTTATAAGTGTTTAAACATGCTTTCTAGATGACAGCAACTCAACACCTGCATATCTACACTGTAAAATCTCCTGTTCCTAAGATCTGCCTGCTGTTTTCTATGTAATGCATATAGGTGGTGCTGTGTCTCTACAGACTGACTGAAGTTGAGACATGCTTTTCCGCTCATTGCTGTGCTTGCTGGATTCTATACCGCAGGTGTAGGACAGATTCTCAGAACATTGAATGCATTCAGCACAGTTTCACAGCATTTATTTGAGGATTTACTTTAATTTCAAATAAAAAGCTTGATAATTCAGTATGTTCTTTACTGTAGATGTCCACTTTACCATTTATGTTTGACCTTTTGATCCAAATGGAAACCGATACCCCTGATCAATTTAGAGGAAGTGGTGATTTATGCTTCTTAGACATTGTGCTGTTTTTAGAGAAGCGCATATTTCAAACTAATTTTAGGACATGACTCTGTTCCTTATCTGCTCTGGAATCTGAATGCTTAACAGCCCGGCTTCTCTTAGCTTGACAGCTGTAACTTTTTAAGCCACTGCTACATTAATAAGAACGATGGCTTGTACGTAAAGTTTTATTTTTTGGGGGGTTCAGCCCGCTGTGTTAGCCTATGTTGATGCTGTAACCGGACCATACCTGTTCTGCTACTCCATGTGGCTCTTTAGACTCTAACCAACTGTGTCTCTTTATTTGATGGATTTATTTGAGGTCAATTTTGTTTTCTTTTTTTACTGTAAGTTTGTTTTTTCGACCATGACTCAGACAAATAATTGGCTGGTGTTGTACAGAGAAACCAGCCTGTTTACATTGTCTGCAGTTGGTAGAATGAAAACTTTCCCTTTTTTTTCTTTTTGTAACATTTGAAGTAGCTAACCCTAACCCTCTGTCCCTGTTTGCTAAATGTATGAAAAGTGCCTTTTCTCGTTTGCAGCAAATGAACCTAAATTCAAGGCGCCACCTACTTGTCTCCTGTCTTTCCTGAATTTTCCTCAATTAAAAACTCTTACTTCAGACTTGTTTTCTTAGGTTTTTTTTTGTGTGCACATGAGTTCTTCTTTTAACAGGCCATCAAATGTGTGTGGAAAATACCAGTGAGAACTTGAAAGCAGAACTGATCTTTTAGGTGCAGCCAGAGTGTACGCTTCCTCTAGAAGCAGTTTCTGTGGTGGGTTCAGCTATCACGTCTCTGAGAACCCAGATTATCATACTAGAATTTGTCTTTAAATTCTAGTGCAAAAGTTTATATTTGGACAACTGATTTTTAGAAACATCTACACCTGTAGGCACGGTGAAAGGAGTATAAAATAACACACCAAACAGCATTAGGATCATTTTATTTAAGTATCAAAATGTGAAAGATGATTACAAAAAAGCATGAAGGAATCTATGAAAGTCTTAACACTCGTCAAGCGTAATGTTAATCTTATGTTTGCAAAGCAACTGGAATATGAAGAATTCAACCTCTTTCCAGTGAAACTTTCTTATCTTGGCAGCATTCCTTGCAAATCCAGTTAGATAAGGCATTGTTGCCGTTCCTCTCAGTCCAGCCAGTAAAATCACAGTCAAATCATTAACTAGGATACAAAATAATAATTTGCAGTTTGAAGAGGGATCGCTCACAGGAACTTATCCTCTCCGCATTCTGTTTAAAAAGAAGAAATACATCATTTACAATATCTGTTAAAGTATTTTAGGCTCTGTTCTGTTCACCCACCTGCAGTTTTTAGATGGTGTTGTAGCTCAGAGGCTTCCAGGCAAACTTCTGGCAGTAGAATAAAGTCTGCATACAAAGAGCATATTGTAAAGTAACACCATTAAGGTTTACTGGTTGTATCCTTACAGCTGTTTACTTACTCCACACTTAAGGGCGGTGCTGACGTCTCTGCATCTGTATGTTGTCAGTGTGCACGGGTCTGTGAATTCAAAAGGAATAACTATTGAACAGAAGACATTTTATGTGCATGTATTGTGAGTTAAAACACTCCTAAAAGCTTCGGATTGAGGCCAAATGGTATTTTATTTAAATTAAAGGGACATTTTTTGTAAAATTCCGACAAGGACAAATAATTGGAGTTTTGCCTTTTACATATAGTAAAGCAGTGTTACACATTTGGAGAAATGTAGTAATTGGTTATTTCTTTTAGTTTATACCATGATTTTCTAAAGCCATATATATATATATATATATATATATATATATATATATATATATATATATATATATACATAAAAAAAGAGAAACGCATTTTATTTTTTGTTGCAAGCTGATACTGTTTTTCAGAATAATAAACTGCAAATTATGAATTAAGTATCTAGTATACGTATATCTCATGTTCATAAAATGATAGTATGGTTTTGTAAGTTATGTGGGGGTATTTTGTGGTCCTTTTATTTCCATGTACTAGTCTCAAGTCAAATTATGTTCATCAAAGAGGACTCCTTTATTCTTGACATTTGGAATGCATTTGGGTGAAACATTCTCTTTCATAAGTACTTTAAAGTTTAGGTTTTCATAGATCTTTCTTCTTATTTTTAGAGTTTACCTGTATGGGTCTTTAAGCCATAACTGCAGCAAAGTAGATTATGAGAGTACTGTACATTTCTACGGAACAGCTTGCAGACTTACCCACAACAGCCTCCTGCCCTTTACACTGATGGATGAGGGCGCAGATGGCCTGAGGAGTGGCATAGCCCAAGATTGCATCCAGCACCGTTTTGCTATACTTGCCAACAATATCCTCGCATTGGTGGCGATACGAAGCCGGCAAGATGTGGCAAATCTCTTCCAGCAGTTTGATCACAGCGTCCTGCAGACGAGGAGCAGGAAATGAGAAAGCAGATGCACGTTAAGGTCAAAAGTGTTGCGTCTGTAGCTTGGTGACCAGGTTTCCACACTATTAAAACAAGGCTCACCTCAGTCCTTTCTTTGGGCAGCAGTTCTTCCAAAGTCTTGAAGAAGAAAATACAGAAGGAACAATGTGTTGCCGGCTCCCCCTGATAGACAAACATAAGACCCTGGTAGTAAAAAAATCCCAATGATATGCTGTTTGCTCATGCATGATATTAGAGTAGGCCATATATTTACTGACATTGTCACTTTTCACATTAGCCTGAAGAACCTGGTTGACAAAGTAGCTGAGCATCTTCTCACGTTCTTCAGCAGAGCTACAAAGGCCGATCATCTTACAGATATCTGCAGGTTTCTGCAGAGGCAAGAGGAAGAAGAACATGGATACTTTTTTTCTTATTTATTCAGAATAGGTTAGATTTTTATTTTTTTTAAACAACACATGATTGATTCAGGTCTCCAACTTACTGCAACACTAGTAACAAAGGTGATGGCTAATGGGAGCATTTTGTCCACTTCATCTTTGCAGAGTTTGGCAGCTGGCCCAGGCAGAAGTGCACAAAGACCATCAATGCCTCCCATTATCTTTTTCTGAAAAGAAACATTGACAATAACTCAACCTGGAAATACTTTAACATTAGTCTTTGTTAAACACAGACATCCCTGCTAATCAGGTAACACAGTTTCTAAAAAGATTAATGTTTGTTTTGTAACTTAAATGTTGATGAAAAGCATAATTTATAAGGCTTCACTTAATGTTTTCCTGTTAAACACATATTTTATAACTCTCTCTACTACAGTATCAAAACAGATAAGGCCAGTAAGTAATCTAATAGAGGTTATATTCAGCAAAACACAGGAGTGAATGAGAGCAAAGCCTCAGACATGATATGGCTCTGTTCAACATAAGGCGCTATAGCTTATAATCTATTTTCATTATAAGAAATCCAAGTAATTAATATTTCCCCCTCCCTTGTGTTTCAGAAGAACAAATTGAAAGTTACATGATTTACGTTTAAAAGGTTATTTTATATAAAAGCCTTAATTCAAAGTGTAAACAAGTTGACAGGTCCCATTGGTCTATGCAATAAAAAGATTACACAAAATGTTTCCACATGCTGGTATTATCCAGTGAGCTTGTTTATCAGTTTTAATATACATCTAAGAAGAAAAAGTGACAGGCTCATGTCAGTCTACACTACAGAGGAACAATGAGTGCATTAGTGAACAAAGACAAAAAAAGAAATCCAGTTGTTCTAGCAGATGTTCTAGATTAAGAGAGAAACAAAAAATTCCTGTGAAATTTCATCTTCTTAGGTTTTGCAAAAATTGTAAAAAAAAAAAAAGAGGAAGGGACTTATTTGTATTTCAGAAAACAGGAACATTTCTGTAGTGTTTGTTTTTTCAGTTTCATGCATGACTGATCAGAGATATTTTTCTTGAAAGAAAAATGTGTTTTTCACTGATAACAAAACAAGTGTTTAAAGTAGGATTTCTTTCAACGCCGTCTGTTCAGCCACAGGTATTAGCAGCCGATTGCAGGACATCATATATATCAGTCATGACCTCTGAATGTAGACTTAAGAAGAACTGATAATATTATCAATGCTCCAATAGGAACACTCAGGTATGCATTCGCTTCACAATCTGCCATTGTTCTTACCTGTAGGTCAGCATTGGACAGCATGTCAACAAGGAGTGTGAAGATCTGTGTGCAGTCCTGGCAAACATCCCCATTCTGGATATAAAATATTGCTTAATGAAAATGAATTCATTAAAACATTTCTACCTCTGTCAAATTCACGTGATCAAAATAATATCTCAAAGCATTTCATTCAGATCTGTGACAAACTTGAATTGGATCTACTAACGCATAATTGAACCATAATTATGAATTTTTATAATTCTAATAATTATATTCTATCATTCTTTTTATAATATTTCTTGCACAAAAGGCAAATAAATATAAACTTTTATGACACACACACACACACATATATATATATTGTGTGTGTTTGCATAACCTTAGGTATTAATTACATTTTTCATTTTGATTTATGCTTTAAAAGAATATTCTTATACTGTAAAAAAAATCTGAAATCCCTTACTTCACCAGGGAGACTTTGCAGGCGATTGTCGTAAGCTGCTGCTAGAGCTACAGGTAGAAAGTTGGTATTGTAAATAGACATTTTTACATTTCATAAATATAGGAACTACACATATATTAATTTGCATAATTATAAGCATCTTACCAGGGCATTGAAGAGCAACTAAGAGAAGCATAGATAATGTCAGAGTGGCCATGGCTGCCTTCTAGGGTTTTTTGTTCCAACTGTCTGCCTCTCACATCTCTGAGGGAAGTGCAAGCTGATTTTATATTTGACGTGGCCCACCTGATAGCTGTCACCCCCACCAACCAGACCCTGATAAAAAGAAAACATCATGCTAACTCTTTTCTGCACAGCCGAAAGGGGGTTTCACTTCCTCAAACCATGTGGATAAAGCACATTTTTTTTTCTTTGAAAGAAAAAAATGCAATCACATATTAATCGTTGAATCTATTTAAAACATCTTCATCTCTAACCTACTGTTTCTTCTCCTCTGGTAAATACAGTATGTTCAGTATGTAAAACAAACGTGCCCACTCCAACTGACTCTCTCTCTCTCTCTCTCTCTCTCTCTATATATACAGTATATATATATATATAT